AGAGTATTTCAGTAATAAACACCTGCCTATATTTAGGACTCGGAATTCCATTTCCACGGTGTGACGTGACTTGATTGTTGCCGTAAGTTGGAACTCGCATATTGCAGTACTTTTGTCATCCACCTTACAATGGTATCATCATAATCTTGGACATAAAAACATCGGAAGAATCTAACTTAAGCCTAGAGGCACAAAGAATCAAAAAAAGCTCCCAAAACGACGACAACACAAATAAAAGCAAGCTAATACTACAACCATGTAAACAAAGCTGACTCGCCGACTAATACCAGCACGAAAAGTTGGGACAATTTATGGGGCGATGGCGACGTAACCATGAGACGCTACAGGTCGAAAGACGTCGTAAATGAGAGACCTCCTGTATTTCATATCAACACAGTTATATCTAATACTAATGTTCTTACCATCGTTGGGCATAGTGAGGATGGGGATCTGAGTGATGGAGCCGTTCCTGCCTTCCACACGACCAGCACGTTCATAGATGGTAGCCAGGTCAGTGTACATGTAGCCAGGAAAACCTCGACGGCCGGGCACCTCCTCTCGCGCAGCCGAGACCTTAAGACGAGACATTACGACATTAGGACATTAGGACATTAATCAACGACGACGCGACGATAACAAATCTTCACATTTAAAAATTCTGAGGCCCATTGTAAGATTTTGGCAGATAGTTAAACATCTAGCTAGTTGTATAAACTGACACCTGACTGAAGTCAATTTGGACATGTCAAGCAGATTGCATCTGTGAAGCTGATTTAATAACCTTTTTTTTTATTTATTTATCTTTGCATAATCATAGTCATTTTCTAAAAAAAAAAAACAAGACACAAAGAGACCTGTATTACAATATGTGTATTGTTCGAAACCAAGCGTGTGTTCTGAATACACAGAGTAAACAAGAGGCGTATGAGCTTCTCTGTGTCGGTTTTTTTCCCCGCAAATATTTATAACAGTGCTTTTACTTAAAAAAAAAAAAAAAAAGTTAAGTGAGGCAGATCTCAGCTTCTATTTATAATAGACACAAAGCTCACGTCCATGAGATGCACTTGAGTATGCAAAGACTGCCACAAAAAAAAAAAAAAGATGCTGACAGTGATGCACTGCGGAATCATTCACAGTGACCTCTGCCTTATTCTGCTATGTCTTTATGATTATAAAAATGAAACTAAAACTAAACTTAAAAAAATCAAGCGTGAGGCTCACCTTGAGCAACGACAGTACTTTAGTTTTACAAAAAAAAGTAATGCACTCAAATAATGCAAATATTGTTTTCTGTTTTCATAAAGAATAATGCACAGTAATGCAAATATTGTTTTCTGTTTTCATTAATTTACTGCTATGGAGTCAAGTGATCCTAACACCTCCAGTATTTTTAAGAAGAGAAACACAAGCGGTTGAAGATGGGGCTTTTGCACCGCGCAAAAAAATGACCAAACGTCATGTCAATTTAGAGCAAGCAGTAAAGAAAATGTATCTCATTTATATCCGGACGTAAAGGTGGACGGGCCACACAAAAACCATCGATTCAATGCAAAAAAAAACTAAACCTTCAGACGTGAATGGGTGCAGAAGTTAAATGTTAATGTCCTTCTCATTCTACGCGAGCACGGAAATAATTCCCAGTCCTGGCCATGTATTGGCGCTATGTTCGTGTGCCAAGGTTACGGAACGCAAATGCGAAAAAGGAAATGCACATGCACTATTTAAAACCCACATCGTGCTGGCAACGCTTATTACAAAAGACTGAGCTGACGGTCTTCAGCCCACATATGAGAACGAAGAAGGCCAGTTAGGTGGAGGGGCAGGAGGTGACGGGGTGTTCGGGGCAAATTCCTTTTAGATGGAAGGACAATAATGAAATAAGGGTATTTCCGACACAAACGAAGGACACGTTATCCTCCCTTTCAGCGAGGAGCACAAAAGTGAATCCATCACCTTGCAAATGTGACAGGAAATTTTACGCCGATGTGTTATTGTGACACCAGCTAGACACAAACATTGAACGGTTTGCTTCTTCCAATGCCGTGGTTCGCGGCAAATGGTGTTAAATTCCAGCATGTTATTAAATTTGATTGGAAAACCGCACCGTTTTGTGATTTAATTTCCTTTGTTCAATGAGAGTAACTGTAGTGATTTTCAATTCAGTTTGGAGGAATTCCAGGAGCAAAAGCAGTAAACAATAGTGATGTTCGATGCCACCAATTTCCTTCCCGATCCGATACCGAGTAAAATTCGGGTTGGTATCGCCGATACCGATATCGATGCCGATATTTTATCATTTGTCTTTTAAATAAAAAAAATGTGTATTTCAAATCATAGCTTCTTTAAGAATCCAAGGCAGAGTTTTTTATTTATTTATTTATTTTAACCTCTGGAGTGTACTGAGGTAGCTGCCTCATTTACTATACAGTCAACACAACAATAGAAAAACCTGAGAACACAATCATATAAAATATGTCAAAACAATGTTTCAAACTCTGAAAACATGTTATTTGTAAAACAAAAATAAAATAAAAAAAATAATCTGAGGAGCCATTTGGGACCCGAAAGAGTCGGATTTTGACGGGTATTAAATTGAGATCAGCAGCAATGGGCTAACATCTGTATACAGGACAGAATCGAGAGAACAGGTTCGTAAAGAGTGAAAAGGATCGTTAACCTCATGTGATTCACAGCCGGATCCTCCAATAAGTACCCGACGACGTGTTACTGCCTATTAACAACTCATGGTGCGGTGATTTCACCCAATACTACAACCGTCAGTGAGTGCAAAGTGCATACTACGTTATAAATTAATGAAGAACTGACATATTATTGAATTCTTCTTATAACTATATATATATAAATATAGTTTTTACAAACAACAGTGGACTTCTGGTGAAGGTGGAGGCTGGAAGAACAAGAAGAAGAAGTGGACAAAATACATAACACCATGCAGGCCAGATTTGGACTCTGTCAACTCTAGCATATAGCATACAGCATATGTTATATTTTTTTGTTATATTTTTTAATTTCTGCTGCTCCAGTCCATTTGTCTTACATAGCCACCATTGACTTCTTGGTGGAGAAAAAAAAAAAAAAAAATATATATATTTATATATAAATATATATATAAATATATATATATATATTAAGTCCATATATATTTATATATTTTTTTTTTACATTAGCAATGGAGCCAAACTTTTTGTATACCCCTCCCCCATCTGACACAAAATTAAGGGTGCCAGAAAGATAAAATGAAGACTTACAAAACCAATGGAAGGAAATACCAATCTATGAGTCTTTTTTGTCCATTCTGGTAATATTTTGTTTTCAAATTCCTCCCACCAGCTGGTTCATACATCTGTAGATTCCGACATGGCTGAACTTTTGCAATTTTGTGTAAACGGGCCCCTTTAATTAAACACAACATTGATGTACTCGCAGGAATTGAAGAAAGCCACAAACCAAGATCTTCAACAGCGTTGAATAGCTTTTTTTTTTTAGTTATTATCGCCATCTGCTGTCATCTAGTGGAAGAGCATTTAAATGTATTGCCTGGCACTTGAATAGATGAACAAAGACAAAATTATTAGCAGTAAATGGATAATAGTTTTGAGAGCATTTTCTGAAATTGGATCATTTCCCAGCTAAACACCTCAATTCATTGATTTCTTTCTTTTTCTTTATTTTTTTTCACCTGTTTGGTCTTAGTAACTAAAAGTGTATCTATACTTCTGTATATTGTGCGTTCTTGGCTATTCACAATCAGACATGATTGAACATTCGGGGCTTCTTCTTGCACTGGAGTCTATAATCTTGATATTTAACAATTTAAAAGTTGTCAAAACAGTGACCAAAAATGAAATACTTAAGAGTCCTAATTTGTGTTATTTGTCTGAACTATTTAGCTTATAACTGGGATCGATGAAAAACTTAAAAATGTATAAAGGCAGGTTACGATCTCACCTCTCGAAGAGCCTCAGCGTAAGAGCTCATGTCAGTCAGGATGACCAGAACGTGCTTTTCACACTGATAGGCCAGGTACTCTGCTGTGGTCAGTGCCAGGCGTGGGGTGATGATACGCTCAATGCTGATTGGTCAGAGAAAGAATGGCAGCCAATTAGTCCTCCACACATTCAGACATACTGTACGTGAAACATGTACGTGAAACATGTAGCCAGTAACATTACTTTTAACGTACACTTCGAATACAAACACTTACGTAGGGTCGTTAGCCAGGTTTAGGAAAAGACACACATTATCCATGGAGCCATTCTCCTCAAAGTCTGACTTAAAGAACCGAGCAGTTTCCATGTTGACCTAAAAGGCAAAAAAAAAAAAAAAAAAAAAAAAATAGGTTCAGTTATACGTCGTCAAAAGTCACATGAATACTATAGACACCAAAAGGTTAAATTGTTTTTTTTTTTCTTCCTTTAATTCATACAATATGGTCAGATAATTAACGTCTTTATTACAGCGAGTTCATGGTTTGACCTTTTTTGAGTGCATGTATAAACAAAGAGGTTCAAATTGAAGCTGGAGTGCACGTGTTAAAGGTGGACGCCAAAAGCCCGTAATGCCCACAAGATGTGCATCGTTGCAAAGTGGAGGAACACGGATGTAAATTAGTGTGTCCACCTGAGGGTCATGTTTCTGTCAGCGCTGATCAGGGCTCAAGCTGATAAATCCCTTTGACCTGGGAATGAATGCTGATTGGTTCTTTTCACACTGAAAACAAAGGCCAGATGTAAGTGGGTGTGTGAATGGGCTGGTAAATAAATGCAGGTTATGTCTTTGTATAAGCATGACAGGCCCATTACGCAAAAAGCTTGCTTCACAGCGGGGTGATGAGCAGTTACATGTTGAAAGACACGTAATCGATGTCCATTACATATTTTATATATATATATATAAACACATATATATATATATAAATATATATATAAATACATATATATATATATATATATATTTCAACATATATATATATATATAAATATATATATGCGAACATTTCCTTCCATGGTGTCCCACAGTGCTGACACTTACAGTAGTATTTAGTATTTGTTTTACTACAATTTAAATTACTTTTCTAGTCTTATGTGTACAGGGATATTCAGTTTTCCTAATTGTCATAACTAGCTCAGGTGATGTTCCATGTCCATACCTTTGGAGGTTTTTTTACAAAACTTAAATAAGATTTTAATAAGCCTGGAGGCCAGTGTGTAACTCTGTCTGTCTGTCCGAAGAGCCGAAACGTTGCATCACGATAACGGTAAACAATGTCGGATCTTTGACATTAAAGCTTTAATAAGCATGGACTCTATGTAGCCTGGGTTGAAAATTGCCAACAAATACAAATGCAAACCATCGTTATGTTTTTAGTGAATTAAACTTATCGTTAGGGAACACATACGGCAAAAAGAAAAAGGCTTTCACACAAGAGCCCAACACTGAACATGTGGATGGACACCACAGTGGAAATATATAGGCCGGAGAGTTTACCTGCAGATGTAAACTACAAAAAAAGATTCTTTGTCAACTCTAGCATATAGCATACAGCATATGTTATATATTTTATATTTATATTTATATTTTCATTTCATTTAAAAAAGGGCAATCATGCTGACGATGCATTAAATGTTGCTGAATGTCAATAACAAAAAGTAAATAAAAAAAAAAGAAAATTGCCGACAAAAATTGTGAGATATACTTTAGTAAATATATTATAACGGAAATACTGCTGCACAGTGTACAAGCATGCCGGTTCAATGCTTGTAAAGTATAAGTCTTCATAATGTGTGTATAACTCCTAAGGATTATACACAAGATTTTTAGTTTTAACAGCAGCAGCAGTAGTAAACAGGAGGAGCAGCTGGGAAAAAAAAAAAAGGAGAGAACTTGATACTGCAGGAGTGACAGTGTCCAAAGAAGCTGTTGAATTGTTAAGCTGCCTACACAGGCAGGGGATATGCTCAGAGCTGGAGAAAAATCACAAAAGAACTTAAAGGTTAAATCACACAGTGAATGGAATACAAAAGCAGGTTGAGAAAGAAGGGGCAGGGTGCCACGCCAGAGTTAAAAGGGGATTAGAGACACAGATGGACAGAAAATAAATGTTTAAATAAGTGTGTGCTGAATGCGGCCTGCCTACCCCCATAGCTGCGAAGACAATAGCAAAGTTGTCCGCGCTGTAGTCCATTACATCCTTGGACTTCTGCACCAGACCTGCCTGCCGACAAATCTGAGCCGCAATCTGCGAAGAAAGAAGCATTTGTAAAAAAAAAAAAACTAGCTTTTACAGCAGTATTAAAATGTCAGCAAATAGGAAGTGGGTGTAGAAGTCGAAAGTCAAGCAAAGTTTGGCGATGAAGAAGTTATGGTGTGTGTTTCTAGTCCTTGAGCTTCTCACAACCCTTGGAAACACTGGCAAACAAAGTGTGGTTTTGCCTGCAAAATGTATGATTTAAAAGCAAATAAAGTGAAGGATTTTAACATGGTAAGAGGATTACAATTTTTAAATGATTATGAATGATCTATACGCAAGTCTTTATTAACACTAACTTGGCATTGGTTTTTTTTTTTTTTTCAAACCACAATAAGGTCTATAATAATGAAACTCAAATCACAGGAAGAAAAAAAATACTAATTTCAAAAGAATGATTTTTCAAGTCGCTATTGCCTAGATTATTTAGTCACTGTCGGTTTGGGTTTTTTTCATAGAATAACAAATTAATTTAAAAAAAACGCAGTATTTTATAAAGCCTGTCATTTTATCTTTAATCTTTTCTTGGCTAAAAATAACATTGCCGCCACCAAATGAAAACTTTGAGCAAACGCCACACCCTAAAGTGACTCAGGCTCTGAATTTACCAAGAGTTCATGACCTGATTCAAAGATGAAACTAGCGCATGACAACTTTCCTAATAAATGCATAATCTTCTTCTTCTTTCTCTTT